TTTTATTCTTTTTATTACAACTATCTCCGATACGATATAATTTATCGATTAAACATTGAAATCACAATATCAAGGATAAAGGTTTTGAATAGAATGTAATTTTTTATTTTAAGGAGATTGATTGAACAATTCCTTAATTTAAGGAAAGTATTTTGTAAAACAAAACACAGAAAGACAAATATTATATTATATATTATATATATAAAATTTTATATATATATAACACGATTATTATTTTGGTTGTTTCATTGCAGGCTATGCAAATGCCAAGATTTATAAATGCAACAATGAAAAATGTCCAAGACCAGGGTGCTACATATCCGGAGGATCGAGCAAAGATGATACATTTCCCTGTTTGCGCCCTATCTGCACTGGCCGATTTGAGCTTGTACGCCATGTGTCCTTTGTCGATTGTCCCGGACACGACATTCTTATGGCAACTATGCTAAACGGCGCAGCAGTTATGGATGCTGCTTTACTACTAATTGGTATACAGGTTTTTACAAGATAATGGATCACTTGTTATAATCGATAGATGGAAATATAAGAATGGAAACATTCGTTTACAGCTGGCAACGAATCGTGTCCTCAGCCTCAAACATCTGAACACTTAGCTGCCATTGAAATCATGAAGCTGAAACACATTGTGATTCTGCAAAACAAAATAGATCTGGTGAAAGAAGCCCAAGCGAAAGAACAATATGAACAAATCTTGAAGTTTGTGCAAGGTACTGTCAACGTTGTAATAAGTTTTGAAATCATCCTTTAAATTCTATTTGTTATTTCTATCCTGTGCTTAGGAACCGTGGCTGAGGGTGCACCTGTAATACCAATATCCGCGCAGCTAAAATACAACATCGAGGTGTTATGCGAGTACATCACGAAGAAGATTCCAGTACCTTTAAGAGATTTCACTTCGGAACCGAGATTAATCGTAATTCGATCGTTCGACGTAAATAAGCCTGGATGCGAAGTAGATGACCTAAAAGGAGGCGTAGCTGGAGGAAGTATTCTAAGAGGAGTATTAAAAGTATGATGATTGTTCATTTTTATTCCCATCCTGCGTGCGCGCGCGGGTAAAAATATTCTTCTTCGCAGGTGGGCATGGAAATTGAAGTACGGCCTGGATTAGTATCAAAAGATAGTGATGGAAAGCTGACTTGTCGACCCATATTTTCACGAATAGTATCATTATTCGCTGAACAAAATGAACTTCAATTTGCAGTTCCAGGTGGCCTGATCGGTAAGTCATATTGTATATTTATACATTTATTTATCAAATAATATTTTCTTTTTTAAATGGATCTCAAGGTGTTGGAACAAAAATTGAGCCAACATTGTGTCGGGCGGATCGTCTAGTCGGTCAAATTTTGGGAGCTGTCGGGGCTTTACCAAAAATATTTATTGAACTTGAGATATCGTACTACCTGCTTAAACGATTGTTAGGAGTTCGAACGGAGGGTGACAAAAAAGCTGCAAGGGTAAGAGTATTGTTCGTTGCATGAACTGCATTTCCCTTTTTATCGGAACTGTAAAATGATACGATCGAATATAGGTACCTAAATTATCGAGGAACGAAGTGCTGTTGGTAAATATCGGATCTCTAAGTACCGGAGGTCGGGTAATAGCCACACGTGCCGATTTAGCTAAAATCAGTTTAACGAACCCCGTCTGCACAGAGATTGAAGAGAAGATCGCGTTGTCACGCCGTATTGAGAAGCATTGGCGTTTGATCGGTTGGGGTCAGATTTGCGGTGGACAAACAATAGAACCGGTTATAGATCGGAAATAATTCCACGGACACTACAAAAAAGACCAAAATATAAGAAAAAGAAAACGAAAAGAATTCAAACAACATGAAATGTTACTTGAAACGTTTATAATAAAGTTCGAAACACACATTATTTGTGTACTGTACGTTCCCGCATTTCCTATATCCTGTATTAATTATTTGTAGTAATATTTATTTATAAAAATTATTGTACTAATAACATTAATTGTTCGTACTATATAGTTCTTAAATACTAGCTTATTATAAAAATATATATTAGCTTGATAAAAGATCAGAGCAATAGCATAAAATGAAACAAACCAATTATAAAGTGTAAATAAACCGAATTAAAAATTTTATTTAAGTTACGTTAAATTAGGTATACATACAAATCCAGGCTGAATGTATGAAATTGACATGGAAACACAGGCTAACATTATTGGTGAGTTGTTTGCATCTTGTACCAAACGATGCAACTCGATTGGTTGTACGAAGGGATCATCTTGTCTACGATATAATAAAAAACAAATGAAGATTTATGCGATAGAAATATAATTTATAGAATATTTTCATAGAAAAATTGTTAATTACTTTATTACGACTATTCGGTAGAGCGGTGGACCAGGATTCGCTTTCCTGTAACTCTGCGTGTTTGAATAGATATTATACGATATCTTGTATCTGTTCTTTTTTCTTCTTACAGTCTTTTCGGGCATGGACTTGATTATTTTAAGCTTACTGAAAACTTCTTCTAGAGTGCTTGCATTCTTCGGTCCACATAGCGGATTTCTTAATCGCCCAACAACCTGTATCTCATCGTGCTCTTCGTCTTTGTGTGTATCTTCGTCATCGATAGTGATCGTTTTCTCTTCGCGCCACTTGGTTTTTAATTCTGACCAGGAAGATGCTCCTGGTAGCACTTTAAACGATGCTTGATTGACTTCGTCTTTTTGGTACGAATGATTATTAGTATTTCTATAGTAATTACGTGGCCAATACCTTTGACGAGGATCAGGTAACGATATGTTCTTGGCTACGCTATAATGAAACGACATATTTGCTACGATCCTTTGGTGATACATTCTTCTTGGCATAAACCTGTTCTGAATCGCTGCGCTATGATTTTCAATAAATATATTTTGAAATACAGTATTCCTATGCTGCCAGAATGAGTTCTGACTGTATGCAAACGGCATTCTGTTATTGTACATATAATTGGTATTAAAATTTGTGTACTGTCCACGTTCCATAGAGAAGTAATCTTCCATAAAAACGTTGTGTACATTCGTTGCTAAATTACGATTCAACGTAGCAACATGCGTGTTCCTTCTAACGTTATTGCTTGTCGACGCATTACTACTAGACTGCTTTAACTTTCTATCTGTTTGCTGTAAATTTCTTAACTCGACGCTTTTATACTGGTAAACATTATTTTGAGGCTTCACACTGTGCGGTATGTAAGCTCTTGAAATTTTCACTACAACAGTTTGTTGACATGCAATATTTGGAATTAAATTCAATAACTCCATCCGCGACATAGGCTGCGGTACTTCTTCGACTTCGTCGTCGGAAAGTTCAATGACCTAAAATTACCGAAAATACTAGTTAATTTTGCATTGATATATTAACAGTACGAACGTTATTTTAAATTGGTGTACCTCATGCTTTGACCTTTTGTTCGGAGACTCCTCCCTAGTTGGGGAAGACGACTTATGTTTTCTCAGACTGCACTCTAAACTTTTGGTATTAGTATCAAGCATAGAAGTATCAGGAGTAGGTAAAAGTACTTTTCTAACTTCGGTTCTTTTGGGCAATAATTTAACATTCCGCTGTATGCGCGCTGACCGCCAGTCCGCCATCGAATTATTTCCTTGTGTACAATTATTTTTCGAATCTGTAACAATTTTAATACTGCCTAGTAACGTTTCTTCCGATATTATCTCGACTTTAGAATTTCGTTTCCTTTTATCCTGATTATTTTTTCCTGGAGACGCGTTATTATCTAGCGATAGACAATTTTCCGTATCTCTCTTTTCGCTTTCAACATTTTCTACTGCGGTGATAAGATCGTTCATGACATTATGTATGTCATCCATGTCTGTAGGTTCATTTAGATCTTGACAAACTTCTATTAAACTATTAGTAGATGCAGGAGTACTCTCCTGCTCATTAATAGGCTTTTCATTTCTTGTATCTGTATCAGAATTAGTCTGTTTCCAAAGACCATTCTCAGGTTCAACAATGACCTTACGTTTAGCGTTGCTACTTTCATCATTTTTTATATTCTTGTCAGGGTCATAAATAAATCGCTGTATACGGTAACCGTAACGTGCTAAATGACTGTAAACTCTGTATTCCTCTAGCGTACACTCAACATTATCAATTAAAAGTTCATGAGCCTGTTGAATGGACAATGGTACATCGTTCCAAGTAAGTTCCAAACAGTTCTAAAACAAAATAGTGTCTTACTTTTCCCTACACCGTGTTAAACAATCTGAGTCTTGTTATAATGATAACATACAGTTTCTAGTAGAAACAGTGCTTCTTCTGGCAACAAATATAAGGCACAATTCTTTTCCAAACCAAAATTACCCCAATCCTGACCAGAATGCTTTTTCACTCTAGCTCTTTTCATTGCAGGCAACCATTCGGCGCTAGCTAATTGCGAAATACGGTCTACTCTTTCTACAGCTATTAAATTTTTACAGGATTTAAGACCCTTCTCAATTTGCATATTTTGCAACCAAGAGTCGTCTGGCTCAAATTGCTTCATACCAGTCTTGGGAAGAGTTCTGACAGACCTTTCGTATTCATCCCAGGCACTGCATTTAATGCCTTTATTTTGTAATAGTTCTTCCACTCTGTAATATACAAATTATTAGAATAAACCTAAGTAAACCTTTATAAATCCTTACAAACCTTTCAAGTATTGAACACTTTATTTTTATTATCCTGTACCTATTTGGAATATCTTAATATCTATTAAACACTAAAGAACAATAAAAAAAACTCACGTTAATGAATTTGTTGGTAATATTTTCCTTTCTTCCGTCATTTTTATTTTGTCACTGTCTCAGTCCAATAAATTATTTATTTTACAAATTGATTGCACCATAAAAAACTACATTCCTATTACCTGCATCATAAAGTATGCATTATACACTTTCTACAAAGCTATCAAGATGTATAGCTAATCATCACCTTTCGTAATTATTAATTTTTATTTATTTCATTTGTTGCTAGCATGAATATTTTCGTAGGACTTCGATTTTATAGGACTTACGGCCCAACGTGTGCCGGCGTCGAAAAATCACGAATAAAAAATGAAATTGAAAAATTATTTGAAGCATTTAAATCATGTTATTGTTTCTGTATACGTCGGTGAGGTACAATCATATAATACTCGCACACACTTATAAAATACCTTCGTGCATACTACATACTGTCTTTGCTCGTTACATGATGCACCGTACTAGGTTAAACTACAGACATATACACGTGCGCATAAAAAATACAATACGAATATTTTTTCCACTGTGATAGAAAAATGACAAATTTTTGTTACAATTTGTGTTGCAAGACTAGATCTTTTATGTTTTCCACGTGGTATTACATTTCTACTTAAGGAAATCGCGGTTCACGGTATGTACATTATGATTATGTATGCAGATCATACATACATACATACGTACATATGTAGTCCACAGGCAACTCTATACATAGTCTGTGATATTTTTGCGAATGTAATATAAAATTAATAATAAACAATTTTCGATATATTTATACCATATACGCGGTTTCAAATTATAAAACAAAAAGAATTTTTTGACCATGTAAAATAAACAAGTATGTATATACATGTACATTCAATCGCATACGCTACGAAATTTCGAATGTATTACATACAGAAAAAACAAACATTTGAAAAAGACATAATATCTAATTGCATATAATTGCATAGACATTGATTAATCGTTGAACCGTACTGATTTTTTAGATAACGGTATATAGATGCTCCAACTCTACAACTGCATACACATAAGTGCATTGTACGTACTATATGCACAAATTTGCGTCCTTGTACCTTATAGTACGGGTTGGTACGAGCACGATGCAGTTATTATGCAGAGAGTGGGGGAATATTCATCATTAAATCATCCTTCACTGGGGATGTCGATCTGTAAATAATGTGCGCAATAACAGTGCATCATGAGCGGTATTAGGAAAAAACATAATCATCTAGCAGTGTTCAAGCAACGCACAAAAAATGACGATAACGCCGAATTGTCCGAGGTTAACATTATCTCCGCAAGAAACACTGGGAATCTAAATCTCTCGTCGAAAGGGCTATACACGGGTATTTGCTACATTTGAAACCGAAATAAATGTTGTTTAGATGTTAATTTAGATATGTACACCTTACGGTAATCAGCCAAATGCTTGATACATACATACATACTCCGATGTTGCACTCGTAAATGAGCTAATGTTGCATGTCCATATTACATTGTTATCTCCATTGTTTTCATGTCGTTTCAACATGTCTTACGAAGACAGATTTTTAATTGATATAATTATATTACCAAATAAAAATTACCTATTAGTAGCACTAATGATATGATATGGTACACGTAAAGAATTACAATATAATTATTTTAAGTATGATAAATAAGTGTTTTACTGTTTTGTAGTTACTAAATTGAAATAAAATTGTATTTTATACCTCAGATGTCTGGCTTATATTATAATAATTACCGATACATGGGTAAAAGAAAAATATCGTGTCATATGCTATTTGCTTTATGCTTTTTGGCAATATTTTATTTCAGTTACAATTATTAGTGAACATATCTTAATATATATTAATTATTTTATTTCGTTTTCTCATCTAACTGGTTTTTCATGTTGAGTAAATTCATAATTATATTATTTTTTTTACATTCGACGCATAGATTGCTTTGCATGTTAAGCTATGGAAAATGTTATAGATTAAACAATGTTTATGATCAAAGCATACAAGATCATCACAAACATGTCATAAGGTAAGCATCTATTAGTTGTTAAACTTATATGTTTGCTG